GTGACCTTTTCACCTTACTTGGCGTGGAATTGGTTAAAATAAACTAGTAACGGGTGTTTCATTAAGAGGGATCAAAGTCAAGAGTAAATAAATCAGTGTTATTGGTGAAAGTGTATTTCTCTATTGAATCATGTTATTTAAGTCATGGCGATTATATGTGAAAAATAATATCGCCCAAATGTCCGGCTTCGGCGTTATACTTCCACTCAATAGTCTAAGTTTTTGATGACGTCTCTGCATAGCTGCTCCTCCATCTCACCAATATGCCTTATTATCTCATCCTTCAACTGTTGAATAATTGTTGGCTTGTTGACATAGACCTTACTTTTGAGACGACCCCAAAGGAAGAAATCTAAAGGAGTCATGTCGCCCGATCATGGTGACCAATTGAGTTGTTTCGAGAGATGATGCGACCTGGGAACTTCTGTTTGAACGTCCATTTTCGTAATAGGCTTCGATAACTTTAACACGTTGTTTGATTGTTAATCTTTCCAGAGTTGAAATTGCCAAATACTTAAGTTGTTAAATCTGAAAGATAAAAAAAAAACAATTATTAAACGCTTAAACTTAATTCACATTTAAAATCGATCCAAGTTATTGGAACACCATTAAGCAGCACAACTTCTCGTTTCCCTCTCCAGCAATGATCATCATACAATGCTTGCATTTTGCAGATTGTATCCATAATCATTGGTAAGTTCCTATCAATGTTATAGCTAGAGTGTGTGCCGCCCGTGCCTTACCCGACCACCACATAAATATATATTGCACAGTAACTCACTCTTAAAGTTATAAATTTTTGTGTACCATTATAATATTACATTCACATACTCAAATATAGTATGCTTTAAATACACACCAAACATACTTAAACTTTATCATTAACAGTTAAGAAGCAAAAACGACATTATGGGGAAAAATGTAAAAAAAATTAGGACCATCTTTATTTCTGAAATAAAAATTACAACTTTCTACAAAGTAACATTTCTTGCTTTGTTTTTGGCAAATTCTTCAATGGCATCGTCAAATACTATTTTATTTGTAAAGTGTCACTCCATAGACGGCAGATAAGCAAATATGTATGTCACAGTTTAAGACAGTAAGTCATGAGTCGCTAAAGAAATTATTGAAAAAGGAAGATTTAAGCATAAAAAACTTGCACATTAATGTCGGGGTGGGGCGATTCTAGAATAGAGGAATAGAACAAGCATTTTCGCACTGGAATTATTGATCAAGTTTATTGAACGACACCAAGGGAACTAGGAGACCTAATAGAATTTATATTTGGCGGAAATAATCTGAACATAATGAGATATGCATACGATACTGTGTTGATGATATATTCAGAAAGAGATTAAAAAGAACTATTAAACAAGTTAGTAAGAAAAAACAAAAAGAAAAGACTGTCAACTGCTTGAAATAAGAATGCATTGTTTGCGGCAAAAGAGAATGATTAGGGCGTGCAGTAAATCTTGCAGCTACTATTTAAGTAGTTTAGTAACAGTGTCACACAGAAATCCGAAAACACATCAGACTGGGGTAAATAATTAATCTAAACTCGGAATTAATTTCAACTCGGAACTAATTTCAACTCGGAACTAATTTCAACTCGGAACTAATTTCAACTCGGAACCAAAGTTTAGGGTTAGGGTTAGGGTTAGCGTTAGGGGTAGGGTTAGGGTTTTTAAATCGAGGGGAAATTAGTTCTGAGTCGAAATTATTTCCGCGTTGAAATTATTTCCGCGTTGAAATTAGTTCCGAATTGAAATTAGTTCCGAATTGAAATTAGTTCTGTCACTCATCAGAACAGCGGAAGGTGCCTTTCTGAAACTAAGTGAACTATTAAACGATAGGAAAATCTCGTTAGAAAGAAATGAAAATATACTGAACTGTTATGCAATGTCTAATCTTCTATATGGTAGGGACGTTGGACAATCTTATCAGAGAAAAGAAGCCTGAACTGAAACATATTTGCTACTACCAACGTAGTCTGAGAAAACCATTTAAAGAATACGTGAGTAACGCGGAGATTACTAGGGAATATATAGTCTACAACATTCATGGGCAAACTGTGGCCATCGGACCACATGTGGCATGATTTGCATTCTGAATGGCACGTCTAATTTCTTGAGGAAAATAACGTTTATTAAAACGTTTCTTTCCTTTTGTTCTCACTTGTTCACTCACATTTCTTCTTATACATACATAAGCAATGATTAAGTACACTTTTCTGTTGGGTTTTGTAACATTTCTTTGAAGGTAACATTGTAAGCATTTTAAGCTATTGGCGATTTTCACTAATGAAAATAAACACTTTTTGCTTCAGGAATATGACATGTTAATTATAATTACTTTTCTCGGGAGAATAAATATACTTTTTTTAAAAAAGATTTTTGCATTGTCAAATGAATAAATTAGAAACAAATCCCACACAGCAACGTGTGTTAATCAGTTTGTTATCAGTGATAATATTATACGAAGTTTTTTTTTTGTTTTTTTTAAAGAAGGAATCTTCCCCTCCCCCCAAAAAAACAATCGACTTTTCCGTATTTCTAAAATAACTGCTTATGAGCATGCTCTGTTGTTGTGAAAATGTCTGCGGTATTTTTAATGAAAATTTACCTTGATTATTTGTTTTCAAGTAGTGCGACCCAACATATGATGAAGTATCCCTCGTGAGGCCGACAGTTCGGTAAAAGGATACTGACAATTCATAAAAGAAAGCGACTACTAAGTTTTTTTTCTGAGGCGTAATGAAGAAAGGGGGCTTGGTGACTATAACATTCTCAGGGCGTCATGAAGAAAAGAGAAGCAGTTAGAAAAAGGGACTAAACTACTAAATCATAAGTGAGTGGTGGAGAGAACAAGGACAAATAAGTATGGTGCAGGAAAAAGAATTTATAAGAACCAGACAAAAGCTTAATTTCACAGAGGCGAAAACTTCAACCACATAAAACCTGAACCAGCATTGCTGCACCCTCGAAGACAAGCATTCTTTGACAGACCAATACATCGTTTTGGTATATAGGCATCAACATCGACTGAAAAACGATACGGGCAAATATAACAGCATGGAACAATACAGCTCTAGTAAGTTGAGTACGGCGATTCCTAATTGGAGTTTATTATTATTGAATTGCAGTTACAATATACGTATTTATCGGCGAGATTGATTACGACAAAAGGTCAGTTTAATATGGCTTTACCGGCAATATCGTCGAAAAAATAGCTAAAGACCCCTCGGCACTCTCCGTTTAAAGACATCTCAGGTGCCGGATCATCATCTTAGTTCTCTATTGGGCCTGCTCTATTGTGCTCTTGAACTATCAGTTAATGTGCATATTGTGCAGTAAACTATTTAAAAATATCAACCAATTACTTAAAATGAGGAAAAATACATAAAATGGGAAAAAAAAATTATTAACAGATTCAATTATAACTGCTATATATAATCAAGAATGGCCTCCCCTTCTTAAATTACAAACCCCTTTGACATAGATATTTCTCTTTACTGGGATGATAAAAGGACACTATACGCAAACCTTGTATTCTCAATTGAATAAGGCTTTCTTAAAGCCTGATATCTGCGTACTTTTGTCATTATGATAACATTCTCTAGTTACAATTAGTATCTACTACCAGCAATATCTACAGTACATGTACAATGTAATTACTGCGAAATACACATTTTTTCCACTAAAAATAAGTGTTCCATTTTTTTTTCCTTATATATTTTAGGAAAATTAATTGATAGCACTGTAGTTGTCGACGGAATCCCTTTGTCTCCTGGTAACCAATCATTTTGACTCAGTCTACAACTGAATATTGTTATGAAAGATGAGTTGAAACGAATTAACCCAGCTGGTTTTGTCAAGGAGTATCTTGGAAAGAGTCACAGATAACTGTAAGGAATAACAGAAGTCACATCACTTGATGACTTTCAACAGCAGCAACAACTAAAATGGATAGCACATGTAACTCGGAGAGAAAATAATGACATAATCATGATGCTGACATTCCACACCACTCCAAATGAAAAGGTTAGAAAGGAACTCCGCATCAATATTGGAAGGAGTGATAACAGCTACTGAACTAGGAAGTCATACTTTCCTGAAAAACTTTTAATAGATTTTATAATTCCAGCCTTCTTTTGTGTGGAAATTGTCCACCTTCCATTGTTATTTAAGAGATTATATATTACATGGCAGTTCAACGCTATGTCCTTATTATATAAACGCATCGTTATTGTCCCAAACCATATATCTTCGTCAATAAGACACTCCATCTATTAAAATTTAGTACAATAGTTCAATAGCTATATTTACTTACGATAAATATAAGCACGGCTCATTAAATCCAATACAATAGCTGAATGGGCAGAATTACTCTCGCAGATGATCCAATATAGCATCTCAAGATTCAGGAACTTGTCGTTTTGAAGTGGTTTCAGATATGCTGTAAGGTATTTTTCTACTGCAAAGTCTAACTTAGACAGTTTAATGAGTAGGAACCAGATAAAATCAAAGCCACAATCTTCAGTTACAAAAAAATCTGGATGTCTCCAGTTGCATCCACCGCTCGATCCTTTCTACAATATGGTGGGTGGCGGGAGTTTCGATTGAGAGGAATGGAAGAATTTAGTTCATCTAGCGTTCGGTTGGACTCAAATAATAATAATAATAATAATAATAATAATAATAAATTATTATTATTATTATTGTTATTATTACTATTATCACTATTATAGTTATTTTTATTACTGCCATTATTATTATTGTTATTGTTGTTACTACTAATACTACTACTATTATTATTATTATTATTATTATTATTATTATTATTATTATACCAGATCCGGAATCCTTATCAGCCCGATATTTTCTGTTTTATAATCTAATAAAATAGCTGAAGAGTCGTATTTCCATTCGTAGAATATCCACTACATACTTCCAACACAGTCTAGTAAGATTTTGCCCGACAACTCTCCGTCCCTACTTGGCTTACGGCCACATCAATTTGAAAGACTGGTTTCCGTGCGATCATTGAAGTTAAGAAACCTCGAGCTTGGTCAGTACCAGATGGGTAACCGCTTGGAAATGCCAGGTGTTGTAAGCTTAGATGTTCCATTGGTTAAAATGATAACGGTTCGGAATTTTTAACCGGAGAGCCAAGTTCCAATTCCAGTTAGAAATCGTTTTATTCACATACGCGCAAAATGTCTTGCAATCTATTTTCTGACTTTAAATAACCTGCAAAACGTTGATAAGCAGTAAAAAAAAAAATCATTCAATCTCTGTCCCTTCAAGTCTTTTTGCCTCTGTGTCGAACTTGTCTAGCTTCTAGTTATTTAAAAGATTAGATATTACATAGCAGTTCAGCACTCTTTTTCTCTTCATATGCACGCATGTTGATTGCCTCAAAGCATGTATATTTGTCAGCCAGATACTCTATGTATTAGAATTTAGTACAATAGTTGAATCTCCATATTTTCACACAAAAACGAATATAATATGAACACAGCTAATTAAAACCAGCTTGTCAGCACCAAACTATGGATGAACGTCAATTCATAGCTTCAACCCAATTGTTTTTGTATTATTTTTCTAGTGGCCCTTCTCTACAATGTAAACCTTCTACAGATCATTGATTCTCGGAAAGAAACTTTCAGCCATTTTGTTTTGTTGTTTTCTTTGTCGTCAATTTAAAATAGACGTTATATTTGTTCTTGTTTATTTTCACTGTGATTTGATGTGGCTAGCTTGAGGCCGTTTTCAGTTTTATTTTATCTTTTGCTTTGAGTCCGAATCAGAATTGCTAATTATTATCAAAATTAATCACAGAACTCAACTTGCATTCGTTTTATGCTTTCTAATTAATCACAATTCATATCCTCTGGTTTCTCTCTCTCTCTCTCTCTCTCTCTCTCTCTCTCTCTATCTCTCTCTCTCTCTCTCTCTCTCTCTGTTTCAATGAAAAAAAAATGGTTTTTGTGAAAACTTTAAAGAAGAATAATTAAACGAGAAATAAACATAAAGTCATGAGAGACGAATGTTTGTCGATAATTGAACTATACATATTGCTTTTTGCATTTGGAAAAAAAAATATGAGCAAGATATGTGTCAGCACAGAAAATAGTAATCGATAAAACAGATTCGAAATAAGGCCGAGGTTGTTCGTGTTTACTTCGCGTTGTGCTGACAGCAGACGCAGAAAGTAAACAACAGTATCTCCTAGACAATAACGTTGAGGAAAGTGAGAAAAAAAGGACTAGCAACAACTGTAAGCATAGAGAATGTATGGTAGTTAGGAAAATAAAATAAAAAAACCTAAGATGTGAGCTAGGAATTGGAAACGCCAAAATAAAGAAACTGCAGATATATAACGATCTGGGAAGTGTAATAAAGGAAAGACGAAAAATGTGATGCAGAAATTAGCTAGAGCATTGGAATACGAGAATATAGCTTCCAAAAGATAAACAACGTATTACGAAAAAGGAAAAATCCGCTGGAAAGAAATTGTGTTAACCCTCTTTGTAATATGTCTTAAAGGTGGCAGTGAATGTTATATATATATATATATATATATATATATATATATGTTATGGTCCGTTTCCTTGTACCACGGTGATAGTCCAAGTTAAAACCAATAATGAAGGACTCGAACACGTATATGGAATAACACAGATATATTACAAACAGGAATATATACAGAGAAGTAGAAAATGTTAGTACCAACAATCAGGTTTAGTATTAATTGTCTGAACGCGACTCTGTTTCTCTGCCTCTGACTCGACTGACTGACTCGCTAGCTCTGACTGACTGACGGACTTCTGACGGACCTCACTCCAGACTTCAGACTGAACAGTATTTAGTCACCCCCCGACGAGGGCATCATGTGGCACAAGGCCGGTTTAACGTAGGATCTCCGAGCCTGTGGGTTCGGCCAAAAATATGCCCTTTGAACCCGTATAAACGGGTCAGGGTCGGTTTACCTCCCCGAAAGGGACTCCTCCCTTCGGCGTAGCCTCGTTCGAGTTCCTCCCCGCCCGAAGGCAGAGAGTTCAACCGATCAGCCGGTCAGCCGGTCGCCTGACTTCAGATTGACCTCCTTGCTTCCTCTTCAGGCGAAGTATTTATTACGTATGGAATAATCCATTATGTTATTATGGGTAAGGTCCCATAACAATAAGTCTTAAAGGTAACAGTGAATGTTAGAAAATGTTCTGATAAATAAAAAGAAGACTTGAAGCAAAAGCAAAAAAGTGATTACACAGATGGATGCTGAGAATATCATGAACAGAAAAATGTAATCAACGAGAAAGTTAAAAGGGAAGTGGAAAAAATGAGCAGTTCTAATTTTTTTTAACCATTTCACCCCAAGCAAGGCAACAAATCCACTAAGATGCAAGGGTTTATTGAGTGTTAAAGAATATGAGAAAAAACGATATCAAAGCGAGAAAAAAAAAAGAACAAGAATTAAGAAGACAGTCGATAACGATTGATATTGCATTTAAATTTTTGAAAATCAAAATTGACTGGAAAGCAAGAAGCCAGAAGAGAGTTCCACAAGGAAGCAAGAGGAAACTGTTAGCATAGAACATATGGTTATATCTAACTATACATTGAATCAAAAAGGGTTGACATTTCTGTAATGCGTAATGAGAAAAAAAGGCTGTTTACACTATTCGAACTGTTGTCCTCGTCATTACTGTCATATTCACGACGTTACGGCCGTTGTACCTCCACCTTTCTTCAGATTATATACGTTGGAATATTCGAACTCTTTATTTAGTCCACTGAGGTAGATTGTTCTATTTCCACTTACCATGCCTTTTCAGGATGTCTTAGTTTCAGTTATTTCGATTTAGTAAATCAACTCTTCAAGTGTTCGTTCATCTCTACTGTTGCCAGGAACTGAACTCACAACCCTTTGGGTCAAGTACATGGAGTACTTCAACCAACTCTTTTACCCACTGGCCACGTGCCCTGACTTGATGTTGTATAGGAATAAAGTGTCGTTGCCGACACCGTAGTTTGAACACAGATCACCAGTGAACAAACACGGACGATTCCATTATTAAATAAGTAGATCAGGTGATCGTAAAGGAAACGTATAAATAGGAATTAGCGTGACGTCTAAGTGATCGCTATTCACTATACTAATCACTATAATATTTCTTTATATTGATCATTATACGGATTACTATTTGGTGATTATTATTTGAACAAGTATTATTAGTACGAAGATTATTTGAAGGCGTTAATATTCCCCGTATCTGCATTTACAAAGTCTCGTCTATAACGAGAATTTCGGAAGGGATAACGAGAATTCGTTGATCTAACGAAGTTACAACGAGTTAGCGTCTAACATGACAAAACTTGAATATGACAGTAAAGATGAGGAAAACACTCCTCATAACTTAAATAATGTAAATAGTTAACTTACCTCATTTCAGAACTATCGACTGATGAGTAACAAGCTGTTATTTTATTCGGGAATACTTAAAAGGTTTTATGCGTTTACCTATAAGCTGGTTTTTGAAATAATTAAATAAAAAGGTGTTATATTTGCATCAACGAGTTGTTATTTGATTCGGAAATACTGAGGCTTCTATATTTCTATCTCTAAACAGCAACTTGGCAATGGAAATAGGTAAATCTCTCTATACTTCTGAGATGAGTTATTATGTACACTATTTACATTATTAGGACTATTGTACTCATCTTTTTTGCCACATTTATCACAACGTTTCGGCGGTTGTACGCTCCGGCCTTCTTCAGGTGGTTGGAATGTCGATCTGAACCCTTTATTTCGCTTACTGGGGTAAACTGTTCTAGTTCCACGTGCCATGTCTAATGCATGTCATTTATCAGTTGTCTCCTGTTAATTCACCTCTCCAAGTTCTCCAGTGCCTTAACCAGGTATTGAACTCACAACTCACTGTGCCATTTCTCCTTAAGGACACATCGCACAGTGAATAAGGGCATTGGTTAGATCCAGTGACAGGCTCCAAAGAATTGTGAGTTCAATCCCTGGTTAAGGCAGTGGAGAACTTGGAGAGGTGAATTAACAGGAGATAACTGATAAATGACATCCATTAGACATGGCACGAGGAACTAGAACAGTCTACCTCAACGAGCGAAATAAAGGGTTCATTTTGACACTCCAACCACCTGAAGAAAGCCGGAGTGTACAACGGCCGAAACGTTGTGATAAATGTGGCAACAAAGATGAGGACAATAGTTCGAATAATATAAATAGTTTAAATACTAAAGTTTTATACTTGCATATCTGGGCTGCTATTTAGTTCAAGAATAGGTAAATACTGTCCGAGAATATTTAAATACAGTTCGAGAATAGGTAAATATAGTTCGAGGATAAGTAAATACAGTTCGCAGATAGGTAAATACAGTCCAAGAATAGGTAAATACAGTTCGAGGAGAGGTAAATACGGTTCGTGAATAGGTAAATACAGTTCGATGATAGTAAATACAGTCCGAGATTAGGTAAATACAGTCCGAGATTAGGTAAATACAGTCCGAGAATAGGTAACTACAATTCGAGAAGAGGTAAATATTGTCCGAAAATATCTAAATAGTAAATACAGTAAATACAGTTCGAGAATAGGTAAATACTGAGGTTTTTATATTTCCATCTTAATGTTTCATATTTTCATCAGCGTGCTGCTATTTGCTCCGTGAAAAGATGAATATTGATAGTTTATATTTTCATCTTTAAGTAGCTATTTACTTCGGGAATTGGTCAATATTGCGTGTGCATTTTTGTAACTATCTGCCATTATTTGACCTAGGAATAGATAAATATGCGGGATTTATTATAGCATCTATCAGCTGTCAACAATTGAGAATAGGTAAAAATCGGTATTTTATATTTGCACGTATAAGCGGTTATTTGATCTAGGATATATAAATACTGATATTTGCACCTGTAAAGATTTACGTGTTAGGCGGCCGAATTTTTTCTGGTGTTGGTTATTTCACTTCACGGAATGTACTCGGCATATTCTAGGTCTCACTGACAGGGAAATCATCTGTTATAATCAGTCAGTTATGTGACATGAGTGATACACGCTTAGGCGATCATGTATATTTC